AAACTAAATCCTAAAAGAAACTAAACTAAATCCTAAAAGAAACTATTGTTAAAAAGAAGAAAACCTGCTAACTAAGCAAAAACTTCTAATTATACAAAGTTATAATCTACTATTAAGTGCAAGAGTCTTAACAAGAAATTTAAAAATAAAATAAAATGTACTATAACTTGTACCAAAGACTAAAAATTATATACAGGTGACTAGAGGATGCCTATATATCTCTCTTCACTTTGCTTTATTTTTTTGATTAAATTCATATCCTTATCTGAAAGTATAAGAATTTTGAAATCTTCATGTATCTTATCTAATAATCATGTGTTTGTATGTCTTCAACAACATGACACATAAGGTATTCTTCCAAACACTCATCTGGTTACTAAATTCACTGGTACTGTCCATTTTACACATGTTGTTTGTTATCATGCAGTGTTTCTCTATATGGAAGTAGTAAACATTGTTGATCTTTTGGAGAATATATGCTGAATTCTCTACTTTATGTCAAAAATTGTGGCCAAAAGTTTTGAAGAGAAAAAAATACTGTATTTGCGAAAGCTCAAGACAATGAAAGTGTTTCCAGTTGTTTTTCATAGAGCTAAAAAGCTTTAGACACTTGAGTAGGAGTTTTTTACCACTACTATTACCAAAATAACCCTTTTGGCTTGAATGCCGAACATGGAAAGAGTTCACCAAGAAGAAAAGCTTGACTCAGAGCACAAACCAACTATATATGCCTACTTCTCAGTGTTTTACATATAAGTCTTCATTGATAACAGTACTAATAAGGAACCTCAGCTATCTTTAGATTTTTTAAAACCTTGAATCTTCAAACTGTTTTAGTGCGATTTTGATTCAAGTAATTATTGGAAAGAGTTGTATGAGAATTTATTAATATTATAAATAAGCTTAATTCTGTAGAATTTCTAAATATTTTGATCATTCAATTATGATTAGTAATTTTCTTACTTAAGAAGATGGACCTCTTAGATTTAATAATGAATATGCATATATGATTTTGAAATTAGAAAAAATATCAAGAATATTAGACAACTAAAGACCTTAAACAAATTTTCCATAATAAATGTCAGTTAGATTTACTGATAATCATTCATATTAATAACAATTATTTGAAAATTCTATAAAAATTTCTAAATATACTAATTATTCAATTATGATTAGTAATTTTTTACTTAAGAAGATGAACCTTTTAGATTTAATAATAAATATGCATATATGACTTTTGAAATTAGAAAAAAATATAGACAACTAAAAATCTTGTTAAATAAATTGAAGAACAATTTTTGAAAACTAATTTCAAATTGCTTTATAGTATTTGTTTTTAATAATGCCCTTCTAATAAAGTAACATTGCATCCACATACATATAACTTCAGAATTATGCATTTCATATCATGCTGTTCATGTACACATAAAATTTTTTAAAATGATAGCATTACTGAATGAATGTCCTTTTGAGATATTTAAAAACCTAGATTTCAATCATAATTGTTGTTTTTATGTCTTCTTGTAAACTGTCAATGGTGTAGAAACATTGCGCCAATATTATAATGTAGGCCAAAAGTAAAAGATTTATCAGAGCTTGTACACCAAAGAACAAGCGCAATTGTTGCCATTTGATATAATCATATCAACTGATTTGGTTTGGCCCCAAAATTAACCAATCATGATTGAGAATTATTTGTTGTTAAAATTTATTATAGAGTTAGTTTTTACAAAAGCAGGTTTTTAAACTTACTTTGAATCCATAATTAAGTGTATAGAATATTGCAATATAACATGTTTAATTATTGGCTGAAAGTAAGTTAAAAAGGCCGTTTTTCTCAAAAATCGCCTCCGAATTCACCCTTACCCATTATACAACCGATCAAACAATGGCAAACCCGATCGTTCCCGAAAATACCCGAACGCTTACAACTAGTGATAGTGCTTTCGTTATAGCTTAGAATAGCTGGTTTTTTTTAGTATTTATTGCTTATTTATCTCATATAGAGGCTAAAAAAAAACATTTTTATTCTTCACGTCACTAAATGACAAAAATCCGTGTAACAGTTTATCGAAAAAAGACCCTTAAAATCAAATCGGTGGATACGTGCTTCCAAATGATCCAAAACCGTTACAGTATTTGATTATACTATTTATATTACGAACATCAAGATTATTTCGGATGGTGAAATTATAAATTGGCTTAACAATGAAAAAAAAGATGCATGGCCTATAAAAGTAGTTCATTTTATTAGATCTAATTTAGTTATAATGAGGGGTTTCAGAATTAACGTGCGGAAAACTAATTTTAATAGAAATAGATAACGTATTTATTTTCAAATGAGCGATGTATCGATTTTATTTCATTTTCCGACAAATTTGTAATAATGATTGTTGTCGTTGAAAAGTTTATTTATTTCGTTAAATGGGGGTCTCTAAACACTCCCATTTCATTTTCCGATTTCAAAGTTTTGATATACAAATAAGATTTTTTAAGCTCCTACTTATTTTCGAAATACGCTATTTTTTTTTAATTCTGAAACCCCTCAATGCATTAATTATTGTTATAGCATTATTAATATAAGCCGGCAGAACAGTATGGTGTAAGTGAAAAGATTCGTATAGTACAGACTATACTCTCCTGATCCAGCATTATATATAGACATATTATAGTATTAAGAAGTATAGCTGATTAATATTGGTATGGTATAGTTTTTAAAAAATTGGGACTGTTCTACTCATCTATACCATACCGATCCGCTGTAATTTCATTTGAGATTACTAAGCAGGGTAAGTAGGGGTAATGTGCCCCGTGAAAATAACAACGGGAACAGGAACAATCACGCATAAACAAGATTACGGGGGCAAATCCCGGCAGGTCATAATCCCGACAAAAAAATTCCGACAGCAAAAATCCTGACAGCCAAAAATTCGACAGTTAAAAATCCCGAAAATTAAAAATTCTGATGAAAAATCATCGCTAACCCTAGCCTAACCCTTATCTAAAGTGACCTAACCCTAAAGTTAATTAAATTATAAGGGGCTACCTCGCTTTAAACATACCAAATTTTCTACTTGAAAATTCTAATTATCAGGATTTAGGGATTTTGACTGTTGGGATTATGACCTGTCGGGATTGTGCTTGTCGGGACTTTGACCGGCACCCGAGTTTTTTTGATACCCACATAATTCACGTAATTATGAGCATATAATATAATTATTATTTGACATGTATTAAAGATCTGTCCAAAATTGGCACAAGTAATGCATTAGGGGCACCAGTGATGCCCACCTTCGCTTGGTAAAATTGAATCAACTGTAGATAATAGTCTCAAAATTTGATATTTTGTAATATAAGTTTTGCTAATCTAAGGCCAGACCAATTAATTCTGTGTTTTACATTACCCTCATTACCTCCTGGGGGTTTATTGTGTTATATATACGGTTTTTTTTTTTTTTTTTTTTTATTATGAGATGGGGAGAGATTCTGGGAGGGAAATATAAAACACAGAATTTAATTGGCCTGGCCTAATCTTAGTTTATCGTTGATAGAAAGTTTTTTTTTTATTTCACTTTATTCATGTTCCTGAATATGTTTCTCTCGCACCGAATTTTCATACTGTCGCCCATTTTTTGGGCTGGTACAAAATTTGATTGAACAGTTTTTAAGCCATTTCTTTTATTGTGATAAGATCATAAGTTTTTCCAAAATTCATTTTCTGCTTTGCATACGATATTTATTAATCTTTAATAAACAATATTTATGAATTCTTTAAACTATATTTTCAAAAATTTCCAGTTCTATAATAGCTTTTTCTTCATACTTTGAATCTGTATTATCATACAGTACAACGTATTCGATTGATTTGGAATGCAAGAATGAGTCTCTCAAATTAGATTCCCTTGCATACATTCGGTACGTCCGTACATAATTACATTGACTCATTATATAATCGATGGTACGACATAGAAAACCAATAATTCTTTAATAAACCGAATAAAAATTTTCCGATCTACTTTCAACCGTTAGAATGTACGACGGACGTACGTACGTACGTATGTAAGCACATGTATAACCTTCTATATCTGTTACTTCGTAATAGATCATTATATAATCACTTTTATTTATTTTTAATTATTTGTTTGTCACATAAAGTTTTGTCGAGCATATTAGAATGAAGGATTCGATTCTTAAAAGTTGGAAAACAACATGACAAACAAAATGATGGAAGAGCAGATACAGTTAGCAAGTATAAAAGAGATCATATAACCAATGGAAAACTCAACTGTATAGCTCTTTGGTCGTTTTTGATAACGAGATTAATTCTCTAAAGCATATAATGTAAATAACCATAATATAGGCTAAATCGAGCATTCTGTATGGGAACCTAAGTAACAGGCTGGCTGATAAGCAAACAATTAAAGAACGTGTCAATTTCTTTTTTCCTATCTGAAACAAAAATAAACTTTAAATATTTAAAAACCTTTTTCTGTTATATGTTAATTATTTAATTATCATATTAAGAATTATAATTGTTGTAATAATATCAATTACATAGTAATAACGAATAATGTAACATAAAAAGGTGGTTATAACTTAAATTGCTCTAGCGTAACGTTGCTCTGAAAACATTATATATTTCAGGAACAATAATTTAACCGTTACCAATAGATATTATGGAATTAGTGATTGGCTAATAAAATGGTTTGCTAACATAATGCTGACATGCACAAAATGTATAACGAACGCATAAGATGTCAACTATGTTAACTTAACTTTTCAATTTGATATAAAAACGTCTTGATTAAATAAACTGTACATTTTTGCTGAGGAATCTTTTATTTCTTTAACAGCAAAAAAAAAAAAAAACAAGAAACAAAAAAAACAAAAAAACAAAACACTAGAACATATTTTCGAATTTTTATTTTCATGATTATATGTACACTTGGAACACTTGGATATTGTTTTTTTTTGATTCCAAAGCATAATTTAATAATCCGATGACTCAAGACGAAAGTTTACATCAGATACCTTCAGAGCATAAAACAGAAATAAACATTTTAACTTTAGTAGAAGCAGAAGTCAAAGAAGATAAAGATTCTTCATCAGAAAAAACTCTTGCAGAGACGGCACCTACAGATGATGCCAAAAATGGCATACCAAATTATGAAATGAGTAAAACTAAAATTTTACTGATTTTTATTGGGCATGTACAATTATTTCCGATCAACTTTAATTCAATGAAAATGCTAATACGGTTAAATGGCTTAAATGCACAGTCTTTCATTGTCTATCTTTCTAGCGGCTTTAGACCAAACTATAGTTGCCACAGCTATACCAGCCATAGCATTAGAATTTAAATCACTTGATGAAGTCGCGTGGATTGGAACGGCTTATTTACTTGCTGCGGTACGTTTTTAACCTGCATGTAGGTTCTCGTTTTACTGTATCATGTGATCGAATCTTCATAAGAATTCGACTCGTTAATTTATATGATGTATCTGTTCTGATAGACAGCTTTTCAGCCAGCATATGGCAAACTTTCAGACATATTTGGTCGAGTAAGTTTTTATTTTTCATTTTATTATTTATTATTTATTCTCTAGTTTGGTTAAATTTTTTTAAAATCATTAAATTCTCAATTTTAAAAACAGAAACCGATATTCCTTATGGCAATAATTTTATTCGAACTTGGTTCTCTTTTATGTGGTCTATCCGTTAATATGGTAACAATTATAATTTTATTTTTTTTTATTCTAATAATTCTAATATAACAATGATTTTTTGTAGAATATGTTAATAATGTCACGTGGTATAGCAGGTCTAGGGTAATTCTCTAATTTCAACTTAAATTTTAATTTAAATTCCAATTAAATTTTAATGTAAATTCCAATTTAAATTTTCGGGTTTACTAAAATGCACCATAGGTGTTGAACACCATAGTTGCTATATCTCAAAAACGTACTAGCTAACACATCTCTGGGGTATTAAGTAAAAATGTTCAGGACCCCAAAAAACATTATGCTAACTAAAATTTGGGCCTTTATATCTAACCCCTATCTTACTCTAAAGTTGCACCCTAACACTAAATTTTAGCCAAAAACATATTAACACCAACAACACCTATGGTGCATTTTATAATTACTGTAAATTTTAATGTAAATTCCAATTTAAATTTTAAATTCCAATTTAAATTTTAATTTAAATTAAAATTTTAACATTTAATTTAAATTAAAATTTTAAATTTTAATTTAAATTAAAATTTAATTAAAATTTAAATTTCAATTAAACTTTAAATTTTTAAACTTTAATTTAAAATTACAATATTAATTCTAATACCTCATATTTTCGTATCACAAAATCAATAATTTAAATGTTTTAGAGGAGGTGGTCTTGTCGCGTAAGCTTTTTTTATTATTTCTCTTTTGATTTAAGTATTAACTATTTAATCTCATTTTTTATAAATTTCGCATTCCTTAGACTCGTAATGATTATTATTACAGAAATAGTTCCGATCAAAGACCGTGGGAAATATCAAGGAATGATTGCTGGCTGTTTTGGTATTGCATCTGTTGTGGGTCCATTATTGGGTGGTGCTTTTACTGATCATGCCTCATGGAGGTTTGTATTTATGTAAAATATTTAATTACGATTTAAT